CATGTACCAGTAAACAAGAACCCCATGTACCAAAAAGAAAGAACCAACAAGAAAACAACACATACTTTAATATAACAAAAACTTACTAAAATGTCATGGACTCAAGTGTGGGGAATGTTGAAGAGGAAAAAAGAGAAGAAATTGATGATAAAGATTTGATCTTGCAAAATGGCGAGGATGAAGTGTTTAGGGTTTCCGGCGAGTTGAAGGAAAATGAAGACAAGTAGTCAACGATTGTGTTCATTCAGTAAAAGTTTCTATGTTATTTGGGCTTGGCATTAGTGGGCTATTTTGGTCACTATTATCATTTACTTATATTTTTACTTATTTGGGCTTTCCACTGTTATTTCAGCCCATGCAGTTGTATTAGGTTGGGACCCATCAGTTGTATTTAATGCATGATGAATGAAGAAGAAAGACATTAAGCAGCAATATTCTGTTACATTCTCCCTCAACATTCCCTCTCTGTATCTTCCCTCATTTCTATTTCTATCTTCTTCTCCAACTAAATTCACAGTTAATTCTAAGAAATTCATAAAACTAAAATAGTTACATCCGAGTTGTAACAATTGGTATCCAGAGCCAGCGGTTCCTACCATGGCTGAAGCTACTCGTTTTAAGGACCTGCAAGAAGCACAAAGGAAGATCGATCAGACCTTACAAACCGAGGCATTAAAGAGAGAGGCAACTGAAATGAAACTCCAGGAACAGATCTCAAATCTGGGCTCAGAAATGAAGGGTTTAACCTCAGAAATGCAAGGTAAGTTTGACAATCTATCGAACACCTTAGCTGCAATGCAGTTACAGCTTCTTAACCTTGATAAATGGGAGAATAATGAATCCATTTTTGGCCCCTACCCGGGATCTAAATCAGAGAAACCTAATCAACAACAATACACACCAAAACCAAAGTTACAGTGGGAACAACAGCAATCAAATCACCACATGATCAGCCCACTACCCAAGGTTGATTTTCCACACTTTGATGGAACTGGACCAAGGGCTTGGATATTGAAGTGCAACGGTTATTTCAAAATTATTCCTAACATCCCAGATCATCAGAAAATAACCTTAGCATCAATGCACTTTGAAGGCAAGGCAGCACAATGGTTTCAGAGTTTTAATAGTAAGTGTGATGATATTACCTGGGCCCAATTTATTGAAATCATTTCAGCAAGGTTTGAGGAGCTGAAGGAATCTAAAATCATAAGGGAATTCAACAAACTGAGGCACACGGGTTCTTACTTGGATTATGTGGAAAAGTTTGAAGAACTCAGGGCTTGTATGCTGTGCATGAATCAGGGTTATACAGAAGACTATTGAAATCATTTCAGCAAGGTTTGAGGAGCTGAAGGAATCTAAAATCATAAGGGAATTCAACAAACTGAGGCACACGGGTTCTTACTTGGATTATGTGGAAAAGTTTGAAGAACTCAGGGCTTGTATGCTGTGTATGAATCAGGGTTATACAGAAGACTATTTCATTGCAAGTTTTATCAGTGGTTTGTCTGAGGAGCTGCAGTCATTTATAAATATGTTTGAACCACAAACACTCCAACAAACCATAGAACTTGGCAAGAAACAACTCATTACCCTAGAAGCAATCACCAAAAAACTCAAACACCCTACCAAAGTCTTACCAAACACTTATCAGTTTCCCAAGAAAATGGATACTCACACCCCTAACCTTTCTCCTAATAAACTCAACTCCAACTTCAAAAACCCTGTTAAACTGCTCACAGCTTCAGAAATGGCAGCCAGAAGGGAAAGATGCTTGTGTTATAACTGTGATGAACAATTTACCTACGGGCATAGGTGTAAACATAGGCTGAATTACATGACTATGACAGAAGAGGAGGAACTCAATTACCTTAACTCTTCAAATCAAATTGAGGAGTTGACAGATCAATCTGAACCCATTGAAGAGGTACAAATGTCCCTAAACTCTATATCTGGTGAGGATGGGCTTACCACCATGAGGGTATTTGGTACTACCCAGGGGCATAAACTCCACCTGCTCATTGACTCAGGGAGCACCCTCAGCTTCATTCAGGCTAGTACAGCCCAAACTTTGGGTCTTCAATTGTTATCAGCTAAACCATTGAGGGTGAAGGTTGCCAATGGACAGAGTATGATCAGCTCACATATTGTGGATGGTTTCTAGTGGACTATGCAAGGACAGAGGTTCAATTATTCCCTAAGGGTCTTGGATAATGTGGGGTGTGATGTTATCTTGGGAGGTGACTGGCTCAAGAGTTGTACTCCCATTGAGCTAGACTATGAAAACATGAGCTTCACAGTAACACTAAATGGGAAAAGGGTTAAGGTTCAAGCTTTGAAATCAGATGCAACTTGCAGGTTTATCTCAGGACACTCACTGTATAAACTCATGCATGAAGATGCTGGTGATACTATTGAAGAGGTGTACTGGGTGGCAGTCAACAAGGCTGACCAGGTCCATGAATGCAATGAGCTTGATGTTATTTTAAAGAAGTATGAGGATGTTTTCCTGGAGCCCAAAGGACTACCCCCTAGCAGGGGAATTGAGCACCACATTATCCTCAAACCTGACAGTTCACCAAGGCACCAATTTCCTTATAGAACCTCTCACAGTCAGAAGGAAGAAATAGAAAAAATAGTCAAAGAAATGTTGGAATCTGGAATTATACAGGAAAGTAGAAGCCCTTTTGCTTCTCCTGTGATATTGGTGAGGAAAAAAGATTCTACCTGGAGGTTGTGTGTTGACTATAGATACCTTAATGGGCTGACAGTAAAACATGACTACCCAATTCCAGTGATAGATGAGCTTTTGGATGAATTGCAAGGGGCTAGGTACTTTTCTAAGATTGACTTGAGGTCAGGTTATTTTCAGATCCTAATGAACAAAGAGCACAGGCCCCTGACAGCATTTAGGACACATAATGGTCACTATGAATTTTTGGTCATGCCTTTTGGATTATGCAATGCCCCTGCCACCTTCCAGTCACTAATGAACAGGGTTTTTAGACACTTATTGAGGAAGACAGTTTTAGTCTTTTTTGATGATATACTTATCTACAGCCAGAGTTGGCATGAGCACTTACAACACTTGGAACAGATGTTACTCATACTCAGGCAGCATCAACTCTATGCTAAGAAAAGCAAATGCCATTTTGGGCAATCTCAAATTGAATATCTGGGGCACATCATATCTCACCAAGGGGTCTCTACTGACCCACAGAAAATTGAGGGCATGGTTAAGTGGCCAACTCCTACCAACCTAAAACAGTTGAGGGGTTTTCTAGGCCTCACAGGCTATTACAGGAAATTTATCAAGGGGTATGGAATGATTAGCAGGCCATTGACAGAGTTATTGAAGAAGGATCAATTTAAATGGGGAAGGGAATCAGAAGAAGCTTTTCAGAAGCTAAAAGATGCCATGGTGAAGGCTCCTGTATTGGCCCTACCAGATTATACCCAACCCTTTGTGTTGGAAACAGATGCCAGTGGAAAAGGGGTGGGTGCTGTACTTATGCAACATGGAAAACCAATTGCCTACATGAGTAAAATGCTGTGTCCTAAAAATCAAGCCCTTTCTATCTATGAGAGGGAGTTCCTAGCTGTTCCTATGGCTGTTCAG